CTGCTTTCCCAGGCCATAGCAGAGAGCTGGATAGGAAGAGGCACAGCTGGGACGAGAACCGGCGCCCACATGGGATGCCGGCACTGCAGGCGGAGGATTAACCTGCACCAGCGCGCCGGCCCCTTGAGGTACTCTGCTTTCATCCTGCCTGCCTTCTACCCTGTCTTCCTTAACAAATACTTCTTAGGGCTTTCTGTGCAAGATACTGTGCTAGACAACGGGAAACACAAGAGCACTTCAGAAAGATCATGGAAAGCGGCATGAAACAAGAATGTATGTTCTCCGTGAACTCTTTGAAGACCTCTCTGTAGTAATGGACAAGCCACACAGGTCGGTGTGTGGACACAGACCCAGCAGGGTAGGAAACGTTGCCACAGGGAGCTACCAAGCCCTGGTGGAGGCATCAGGGAAGCCTTTCTGGGGGAGGCAGCCATAAGGTTAAGCCCTAGGGACCAATGGGAGCTAACGAGACATATGGGGTTGTAGTGAGGAAGAGGACAGAGAGAAAAGGGAATTCTTCAGGGAGAGGGAACAGTGTGTGTACAACTCAGAGGCCAAACTTTTGAAGTTGTGCCCCAGGAGGTGGCGCTCAGATAGATTCCCTACAGACAGTTCCCTGGAATCCTGCCATCTGGCCAACTTGGGCAAAGAGGGAACATTGGGTCTTTGCAAATGAGAGCATGCTGGCATGTCTTCACAGGGCTCAGTGAATTGGGTAAGAAGCTAAGGGTGACAAGTAAGACTCGAAAGGTGGAGAAACAGGTATAACCACCACATCCCATATGTGTGCAGGTTCAAGTCCCAGGTGCTTTGCTTCCGAACCAGCTTCCTGCTAGTGCTCCTGGGAAAGCAGCAGAGGATAGCCCATATCCTTGGGCCCCTGCACCTATGGGGGAGACCTGAAGAGGCTCCTGGCTTCAGAAGGGCCCAGCTCCAGCTGTTGCAGCCATTTGGGGACTGAACAACAGATGCAAGATCTGTCTCTCCCTCTCTCTGTAACTCTGCCTTACAAATAAATGAATAAATCATAAAAGATAAAAAGACTTGAGAGGTAAGAGGGTGGGGTGGCAGACTGCTGAAGGAGTTGAGCTCCTCAGCAGCCCCTATGAGGCTGTGTCTCTCAGGAGGGGACCCCCTCACCTTCAAGCCTGATCAGTGGGTGCTTGGGAAGTGTCTATGAGTGCAGTGATGCTCACCATACCTTTACAGCTACACACTGTTGTTGAAGAAGATGAAGTCAGTGTCCCCTCACTTGATAGCTACACATACATTCATAGCAATGCCTTCGCTGGCTGCCACACACTGCTCTCAACATGGCACCCATTTTAACCCCTTTAATCCTCAAAGTAACAAGAACTTTAGGTAGATACATACATACTTCCTAATATCGCCATTGCACAGATATGGCATTGAGATCCAGAGGGCGAAGTAATATGCTGAAGCTCACTGAGCTTGCAAGAAATGGAACTGGATTTCAAGTGCATGCAATCTGGCTCCAGAGCCCACACTCTCAACTGGGCCCTACCCTGCTTCTGTATATGTTGAGTTGGTGTGGTCATGCATTTTAGGACATGTAATTCCGGCATACGTGTTGGGTGAATTAAAAACTTTTTCTGATATTTCCTGGCATGCTAGGAAATGGTTCTGTGTACCCTGCCTCAGACACCACTTTAAAACTGCCTGTGAGCGAGAGGAAGGAACTAGCCTATTTCCCATAATATCTGTACCCCATAGAAACTTCTTTCACCATCTACAGATGTACCACCCTGCAGGCACCTGATCACGTCTGACCTCGTAAGCTAAGCAGGGCCTGGCCTGGTTAGTACTTGGATGGGAGAAAGTACATTCACCTGCTAAGGGCCTGGCACCTTGTTCAGGGCTTCACAGGTTATGAATATTCAGAGAAACCCTGGCAGAGATTGGCTGGAAGGCAAAGGAGGTGGGCACGAGGCCAGGGGGCCAGTGCGGTGCTGCTCTCAGGGTCCCTGAAGTTGGCGATGGAACAGTGTACTGGTTTACTTCCAGCAGCCTGGCAGATCCACTCAGCAAGAGGCTGTAACAAACCCCCTGGAACAACGGATCGTGGTTCTTAACTTTGGTCTGAGATCCCCAGAAACTCAGTGTAGTATGGCACTGGTTATCCCCAGCTCCTCGCAAGCTGTGATTGGCGGTTATGTGATGTCTTTGGTTAAGAAAAGATGAGGAAATGGGTATATACTTGCTTAATAAGTGCAGCCTGACAGCCAAGAATTGTCTACACCTGGGACTGCAGGAAGGGGCGTTAGGAGCGGGCTTCTTGGTGGCGCGCTTTCCCTCAGTTTAATAAACATTTGCTGAGTTCCTACTGTGGACTCCTAGTTGCTCATGCTTACTGTGTGCTCACGTACAATGTCTCTTTATTAAGATTTGTTTATTTATTTACCTGAAAGGCAAAGTGATGGGAGGAAAGGTTTCTATCCACTGCCTCATTCCCCAAATGCCTGCAATAGCTAAGGCTGGCCCAGCCTGAAACCAGGAGCTGGGAACTCCATCAGGGTCTCCCATCTGAGTAGCAGGGATCTAAGCACCTTGGCCCTATTCCACTACCACCCAGGCACTCTAGCAGGAAGCTGGATGGGAGACAAAGGAGCCAGGACTTGAACCACACCACAGTACGGGATGCAGGCATCCCAAGCAGCTTAACCTGTTGCACCACAATGCCTGCCCCCTCACATGTAATTTTATCCTCACAGCAATTACTTTAAAGGGGGAAGCAGGGGCAGATGTTGTGCAGTAGGTTAAGCCTCCCTTCAGACATCCACATCCCGTGTGGGAGTGCTGGTTCGAGGCCTGGCTACTCCAGCTTCCTGCTGATGTGCCTGGGAATTCAGAGGATGGCGCAAGTCCTTGGGTCCCTGCCACCCATGTGGGAGACCCAGATAGAGTCCCTCCCTGGCTCCTGGCTTCAGCCCGGCCAAACCTTGGCTGTTGTGGGCATTTGGAGAATGATGCAGCACATGGAATGTATGTGTCTTTCTTTCTCTCTCCCCCTTTCAAATAAATAAATCCTTTAGAGGGGTTGGGGTTGGGGGAGAACGAGGGGTGGGCAGCTTACAGATGAGGAACTGGAAGTAATTTCCCCAATATCGTACAGCTAATAGGCAGCCATACTGTGATGCACACCCTAATTCTATTGAACTCCAGAGCTCACTCCCAGAACACACTGTACTCTGAGAATGTCCTGTGTGCCTTTATGCACCTAACTAGAAATATGGGGGAATCTTCAAAAAGTTCATGGAAAATGTATATTATGAAAAAGCCGTGTATGGATTTCAAATCATTTGCAGCACAATGAATTTATCCTTTAATTCCATTTTCGGTGAACTCTTTGAAGTTCGCTCTTAGAGCAGGGCAAATGTTATGTGAGACCGGCCGCCAAGGTCAATTCACAGAAAGGAATGCTGAGCACACTGGCTGGTAAGTGGTGTCACTCTCACTGTGAATTGGGGATTCTGGATTGGACGATTGTAAGATGAGCCACAGCCTGATTTTTTGGGAAATTAGCAGAAACCCAGGGGAGAAGCCACCCAGAGACTGCGCTGTGGTCACTGATCCTTGCTGCCTGGATTATTGTGACTGAATTTCTAAAATGAACCAGCCAAATGGCATTATGCTGCAACCCTATACAATGTTGCCATGCACAGTTAAGATCTGGGTTTGATACTAAGAAGAATGGAACTTGCAAACTCCTGTGAGATTTGGTGGCTGTGAACTGAGCCCGCTTCTGTTATGTGGACAGACCACCTCGGCGTACGCAGCTCTCTATGTCACCGTCCCCTTAGAGCCCTACCAGATCTGAGGGTGGCACCTCTGGGCTATGTTTTTGCTTCCTGAGGTTGAATCTCTTTGAAAAACTGGTTGGATGTGATTACGTTCTAGGAATCACAACAGGAGCAGACGAGCAGTCTCGCTGTCCAGTGGATGCACTGTCTTGTACTGTACACTTTTCTATGTCTGTGCTTGTGTTGCCCCCTTGTAGACGATGTACTGCACATGTTGAAAAGTCGCCCCACATAAGACCGCAAAGTGTGTAAGCGCGGAGCACCTGTCCCAGGCCATGGCCTCCTCCTTCTAAAGAGCTGGGATTTGCATAGAGGACTAGAGAGAGCTGGCACTTTAACACTCTGATGGAGTAGAAGCTTGGAGTCAGACTTAGTGACTTTGTGCCATGTGGAGCTCCCAGAATGTTAGCACCCTAGAATGATAGAATGTTTTCCCCTTCAACTATTAGAGCCCTACAATCTGCCTGTTCCAGCAAGTATCTCTTTTGTGCCAGGCAATTTAAGCTGGAGTTAAAGAAGTGAGCAAGACTTCTAAGGGTCTCGCTTTCAGGGAATTTGCAGACAGTGCCTGAATATAAGAATCACAAAGTGTTAGGTTTCTAGGGAAATGAAACATCAGGGTGCTGAAATTCAGAATGCCAAAGGTGGAGAACCTGCCCTCAAGAGTTCTCTGCGGCTCTCTCTGCCTTTGATGATGCTCAGAGCCCCCAATTATGTTCACGTGGGGTTAAAACCGCAGCAACAAAAACGCTGGTTCAGTTCAGCGACATCACAGAATGGCCAGTTTGTGAGGGCTCAGGGATCATCCAGTCCTGGCCAGTAGCTTTCCCTGGGGAGCTCAGAGAGGCGCCTCTCTTGAATAGTTAACAGCCCAGCAGGTCTGCAGCGCCCACAGAAAGAGGAAGGCATCCTGCTGGGCTCGTGAGGTGCCTGCTTTGCAAGCCATGCGTTTTTTCCACACTGAGCCAGCCCTGCAGAAGGTTAGTTTGCACCAACTTTCCGTGCATGGAGCCATCAGCCCCGCCCCAGGCCCGCGTGTGCAGTGGATCACCCAGTGTTGGATCCCCCTCCCCTGATGATGTATGCGTGTTTTATTTTTGCTCCCTCCCCTTCCCCGTGTGCCTTAAAATCAATTTTGATTATTTTTTTTCTGTCTGTGTTTGTCTTTGTGGTTCGCAGGTGCTCCCTTGCATTGTTCGTCCGCTTCATCAACCCCTATTGAGCAGTCCCCCTCCCCGCCCCCCTCCCCTCCGGCCAATGAGAGCCAGAGGCGGTTGCTAGGCAACGGTGTGGCCCCGCCAACCCCGGACTCAGACTCTGAGGAAGAGTTTGTCCCTAATTCATTCTTAGTTAAAAGTGGCTCCGCCAGCCTGGGGGTCGCGGCAAACGGTAAGTCCTTCTCTCTTTCTAACTTTGCTGTGTGATGCGCGCCGAGGTGCTGGCAGGGGCAGAGGGACGGGGCCCCACAGGCTCCAGCGGGGGGAGTGGGAGGTCATGGGACGGGGTGGGGGAGCCCTGGCTCTGGCGGCCTCAAGCTGCCTACACCGCGCAACCTGAGGTGTGCAGGGTTGCGGGCAACTGTTGTGCAATGCCCTCATGGCACAAGTCCCCCAGGCAGGTACCTCAACAGAGGTGCACAGACAGACCTGAGAGAAGGGAGCAACAGGTGGAGACGGAGACAGGTAAAGACAAAGTTCGGTACAGGAAAAAAAAATCAGACCTAAATCTCCCTGAGTGGCGCCTCCTCAAAGCCCTGCCTGCATGGCCGCGTAGGGTGCACTGCTCGCAGGGACCAGGTTTGCCTGAAGCCCCGCACACAGCCCGCAGACCAGAGTCCTACAATGCCGCCGCCGCCGAGGCAGTCCTGAGTTTCAGCCTGGATCTGCCGGGACAAGCTCCCTGCCGCTCAGCTCTGCCCTGGCTTTCTGAGCAGAGGAGGGGTGGTGTGCGGGCAGACGGTGCAGGAGCTCCGGGCTGACCAGGGTTCACCACTGCTGTTACACCCACTCCAGGTGCTTGCCCTGCCTGTGTCCAGCAGAGGCCAGTCCACTTCTTTGCGAGGATGGCCAGGAGGGGCCTCAGATCTCAGGAGAGGGGTGGTGTACGTGGGTGTGGTGCCCTGGAGTCACCGTGATGGTCTGTTACTGGTTGCGGAGGGGAGGGCGGTTGCAGGCGTGAATTTCATGGAATCTTTTCCTCCACTCAGTATAGAAATAAAAAGCCAGGAAAGAATTTGCAAAGAGGCAGAAATCTTATTTGACAGAAAAGTGTCTGGTCTGAGAGGAGACCAGGCAGAGTGCCTGAACGGGACACTGGCTTTGAGGGAGTGTCCAGGGTTTTTAGGGCATTACTCTCTGTTCATTGGGTCATTATATTGGGGGTGGGGGGCATTGAACGGGTTTTCACGCCCGTATGTTGATTGGCTTGGGGCTCATGGAGACAGCGGAGGAGGTCTCCTGGAAACAGTCTATCTCCCCCTTAAGGTCTCAGCCCCCTCCTCTGCCGGCTCTGGGTGAAAGATTGCATCCACTCTGAAGGTGTGATTTAAAGCCAGAAGGTCACACATGCAGCACAAAAAGCTATTAGTGGGGAGATGCCGGCTGGTCTGGAGACAGGCTTTCCAGCCCCAGCTGGCAGCCTGCTTGGGAGGACATTCTATCTGTGCCTGAGGGGCCCACAGAGACCCCCCTCCCCAGACATGCTGGATGGTCCCTGGCCCCACGATTCCTGATTCAAAGAGGTGAAGTGAGACTGTTTGCCTGCAAGTTACACTGTAGCCTGTGTTAATGCCACACATGTTTATTTAAAAATGCCCGTGCTGTGGGAAATGCTAGGTCAGAGTCTGGAAAAGCAGGTGGGCAATGCAAGGAGGCAGGAGCCTTGTCCATGGCTTTGAGTTAAATGGAAGCCGTATTGCCACGGATTCAGACAAGTCTCTCAGAGAAGGCATCCTCTAGCATAAATAATGTGGGCAGTAAGGTACCCAGCTCGCGGTGAGCACCCCGCACTGCACGGTGTCTGGGACAGAAGGACAGGTTTAGTCAATGTTAGTCATTGCCCAGGTGCCTGCACCTGCCTCCAGTGGGTGTCCAGAGAGCCCACATGGGAAAGCTCCTGGCACGCCGCCTGGCACCTGTGCCTGGTGGGGGCAGATTGTGGCAGCTCAGGGTAACCAAGGAGGTAGGGGCCTGGCATGTGGTGGGACCCAGCGGGGACCCTGGTGCAACTGAGGGACTTAGGAAATGTCTCCTGGAGCAGGCACTGGCAGGGCCTAGGGAGACTGGGCAACTTGGGCAGAGAAGAGTCGCTCGGGGAAAAAGCACCTGGAGGAGGGAGCTGGGGAGCCCAGCCCAGCTCCTTTAGACCTGGAGTCTAGGAGGTATGTGGAAGACCATGTGGCGGCGGGCACCTGCACTCCTCTAGGTGCTGAGTGGACCCTATCCCCAGTGACTGCTCCCCTTCCCCAGCCAGGACCCCTCTCCACCTCTGCTGTTGCTAAAAATCAGGGGTGAGGGTCTCCGGCCCTGTGCTTCTCTTCCAGCAGGACTTTAGGCCCTGCCTTCTCCAAGAACTCAACCATGCTCAGGACCCTTTCCCTCTGTGCCCTCTGAGTGTGCCACGCCTTCGGGGGGGTGCAGCCACACCAGACCGCACCGCCTTTAGATGCCTGTGGCATTTCACACTTGGTTCAGAAGCGGAGCCCGGGCTGGAGATGCAGAGACCAGGGTTCCAGGCCCAGCTCTGCGGCTCACTGGCTGTTCTCAGCAGACCACTGTTCCTCTGTATGCCTCAGTATCCCTATCTTGCCTAAAGTAATCTGATTCATGAGTGCCATGTGGTACCCACACAACAGTCCCTGCCACCAGTGGCCTTTTAAGCTTATGGGGGAAGGGAGAATGCACACACACACAACACAACACACACACATACACTCACACAGCACACGCACACACCACACACACATACACTCACACAGCACACGCACACAACTCACACACACACACACACACATATACATATATATGATAATATTCTTTGTCCGTTTGTTCTTTTGTGAGCAAATAAGCCTTGCAGGCAAAAGAAAAGGCAGGAGATTAAAGTCCTTAATCTCTCCCTTTGCTAATTAACTAAACAAGAGCAATGGCTTTGTTGCAAGTTCTGGGGCAAGCTGATGGTGTTGTTGCGTGTGTGATGGGCTGGGGAGGGGAGATGGGGACACTTTGGCCCAGGGCTATCTGCTCAGTCTTGCCACTGTGTGCTCCTACGGACACCCCCGGGGTGCCTAAGACCTCTGCGCTCCCTCTCTGGGGCTTGGTTCCAAGTGTCACCATAAAGGTTGGGGATAAATGGGCCCCCTGCCTGAAGTGGGTGAAGACTGGGTCCTTTCTGGTCTGTTGCTCTGGAGTTGGGTTCATAAGAAAGCCCACTGATTCTCACCCCAAAGCTGGATGCTGCCTGCCGTCATCCTGTCCCCCGAAATCCCAAGACCAGGGGTCCCCTGTGGTCCGCAGGATCTGCTGGAATTGACACAGACCTAACACTAGCTGGGAGAGAAGTGTGGGCCCAGCTACCTGATGGGCCCAATAGTCATTTGTAGTGTTTTGTTTCGTGTTTGTTTTCACAGAAAAATTGCAAAAGTATTCTCATGGGATCATCTTCCTTGCTTTTGCTAAGTGACAGTGCCTGTTAACTCTCACAGAATGCAGAAGGGTAAAATGGGAAGTTCCCTTGTAATCCTTCTGGAGAAGCCGCTTTTAGCAGATGGGTGCAGGGTCCTCCACGGGCGCTTTCCACGTAGTGTTCGTCTAGTGAGTGAACGCATGAAGCAGTGAGCGAGCGAGGCTGACTTTTGAGGCCCATGCTGAAGAAGGAATGGCAAGGGCTGTAGGGTCAGACCTGAAAGTGGGCCCAGGGCAAGGTTCCTACCCACTCAGATCGTCTGTTGCTCCACCTGTGAAACAGGGAAGCCTCCCAAGGTTATCGCGGAGTTTACAGATGACAAAGCTGGGGCCAGCCTGGGGCCAGCCCAGAGATGCCTGCATCCTATTCGGGTTCAGCTCCCCACTCTGGCTCTTGACTCCAGCTTTCTTTCTGCTAATGCAGACCCAGGTGGCAGCAGGTGATGGGCCAAGTAATTAGGTCCCTGCTACCCACATGGGAGACCTAGACTGAGTTCTGCCTTCAGCCCATCCCTTGCCATTTGGGGAGTGAACTAGGAGTGTATGTTTTCTCTCTCTCTCTCTCTCTCTCTCTCTCTCTCTCTCTCTCTCTGACTTTCAAAGAAATAATTTCTTAAAAAAAGATAAAGCTGATAAACATCCCTGTCTCCACACCTCCATCCCCCTCCACCAACCTAGAGCTTTAGAGAGGACTGTACACAGGTCAGTTGCTTTAGGTCCAGCTCCCTTGCCACTTGATTGGGGACTTATTTTAAATGACAAAGGACACTGCTCTGACTCTCCTGGGGGCAGGGAGGCAGTTTCCTGGGGTAGCAGCCAAGGCCTGGACCAGCCTCCCCAGGCAAGAGGACTATACTGTCAGCTCCCCAGGGCTCCCCTGTGGGCCCTGGGCCCACAGCTGTGTCAACTCAGCCCTCCCCACCCCTGGCTGCTGCCGTCCCAGATCCCCTCAGACCTGCCCTGTGACAATCCCCATGCAAAGTGCAGAGTGAGCACGCGTGCAGCGCCACAGAGCAGCCCGTTGTCCCTGCGGACGAGAACACAAGGCAAAGAGCTGTTTCTGTTCCCAAACCCCTAATCCCCCCCAAGGGTGATCATCCAGAAATCACTGATATGTGCAAAGGAAGAGTTCGCTGAAATATCAAGGGTCCCAGTGGAAGAGCTAGGGAAGAGGGGAGGATTAAGTAGGCCTGCATCCCCACCCCCTAGACCCGCTGCGCAAGAAATGGTGACTGTTTCATGGACCGCTGTCATCCACACGCCGAAGCAGAGACTTTCCAGACTAGGGGCTGGTATTTCAGAGGGTCCAGGAACAAATAGCTGTGGGGAGGCTGTCTGGTTTCTCTTAGCTTAGGGGAGGTGGGGGTGGAGAGGTGTGGGCGAGTTCCCCTTTCGCTGTGCCTGAGTCTTTTGTTTATCTGCACTGTCTTGTTGGAGCTTCCATGTCTCAGTCCAGGAAACGGAGGCGCTGTGAGCGGCGGGGACCTGTCCCTACTGCTTTCTTTGCTCTTGTGTTTTTCTTTTCTTTTATTTGAAAGGCAGAGGGACAGTGTTCCCATCCCATTCCCCCAGTGCCCATAACAGCCAGGGCTGGGTCTGGCCAAATCCAGGAGCCCAGAACCCCACCCAAGTCTCCTATGTGGGTGGCAAGGACCCAGGTCCTTCACCTGTTGCCTCCCAAGATGAACCGGAATCTGAAGTCCAGCCAGG